AAATCTAAAAAGAATAAAATTATATTTTCTAATATCGTATTAGAATTGCTTACACTACTTTTCTGTTTCAGTTCTTCCTCCCGCAGAAATGCTACTACCGTTATCACTGCTACTACTACTACTGTTACTATTAAATAAACTAAATAAATAGATAAAGGAAAGTGCGCACCAAAGAAAAAAAAAAAACGATACACTATATAAAATCATTAATGGGAAATGCATGACCTAAAAATACGAAACGCATTGTAAAATGAAGTCATTACGCAATATAGGAAATGAATGACTATAAAAAAAAAATTCCAAGTCTATAAAATATTCAATACTTTTATTTAAAGCGAATAAATTATCATTCTTAGCTTCATCTTTTCTCTCTCTCTCTCTCTCTCTCTCTGTTTAATACTTTGGTGTACTTTAAAACCCTTTGCTTTCTTCGATTCATCTCCTTGATGGATTCTATTACAGCCTTATTTTAAGTTTATATTACCCCCTTTCAATAAAAAATCGATTCGGATATAACCTCTCGCCGATTATATCGCTGCTTCAGCATAGGATGTTAATGAAGTTTCCCGCCGTTTATTGCGTATATGCGAATTAAAATGACTGCTATTGTCCTTAAACAACTCATATGTTTCGATTAACATACGTCTGCGGGCGATTAAAATATCGGTAACGTCCAAAACGTGACAGTCAATTTATTTTACAATTAGTTTCGATATTCAAGATCTGATTAAACATAATTCCAGGAGTAGTTAAAAGATCAAGGTTTTAATGGTCATATACAACGAGAAATATAAGAGAAATAAGACAAAAAATGAAAAAAAGGTAGAAACAGATTCTTTAATATTTTTACTCTGTTTACTCTGTAAATTGAAGGCGCTTTAAGTGAATTTGTAAACACACAGAGGAAAAAATTACGTAAAAGTTGAGTGCTATATAAAAATAAATGAAAAAATTATTAGGCTCAAAAATGAAATCCTAAAGCATTTCCCTCTACGAATATTTCGCCGTTTTTCTCTTTAAAAGAAATTACTTCGTGCAGGAAACTAAAGCAGTTTTTCTATGCGTTACATCTGTTACGAGCCATCTTACTCTAGCTGTTCTTTCAATATAGTAATTAATGTTAAAATCTAATAAATAACTGATATACAGATAATAATTAATACTGGTATACAGAAACTAAACTCCTGTTTAGTTATCCTTCCACAAAGTTGCGTCGTATACGGTGAAAAGGTACTAAGAAAATCTCGGGAGAAAATTCGCACAGTCGATGGTTTTTGAATTATATCGAAGAGCGAAGAGTATCTGATCTTAAGATAACTACAAGCCTACAGAAAAGCGCAATCTTAAAAAAGTAAGAAAATTATATCCTCTTCTTCGTTTGTACCCATCCTCATCATCCTAAAAAAGACGAAAAAAATAAAAAAAATAAATTTTTACGCTCTGTAAGGAGGGCATTTTATTATTTTATTATAAAAGTATTTATAGCCCAGGGTAAGGAATTATAGGCGTGTCCTTTGAAAAGTTTATCTCGCTTCCAAATTCTTTTGCAAATTTGTAGGCGGTATTTTCATTACACAATTGAGCAGACGGATAGACGGACATGATTAGGTATTGAAAAAAAAGATTATATCGTGACACACTATAATATTGGGTAGAAGCGGTTAATTTTTCAATTCTATTGCAGGCACTATCGCCCGTCGGATGCATATTTAATTTTTTTATAGTTATCTGCTTTAGTTTATGAGTAAAGAGCAAAAAAAAACAGTTTTTTATTACTTTTGAAAAACAGAAGTAATCTTGTTGTACGTAGCAACGTAGTCATGCCTTTTTACCGATGTCGCCCTTATTCTGCACCAATCTGCCTACAAGAACTTCTAATGTTTCTGCCAAATTTGAAGCCGATAGCTTCATTTTTGCAGCCGGGATTACCCTCTCTTGGATATAAAATTAAGTTTTCTTAAAAGCTTGTCGTGCTTGCTTACTCTTAGTCACCACGGTTAGTGATTAACCTTAGTCTTGCCACTTTTGTACTTAGGTCGTACATATTTTGACTATTTCATGTTGCATTTACCAAAAACTACGTCCTTTGCACAATAGCTTACGTTTACATAAAGCTTGTTTGCTATATAAATGAATTTAAAAGGGAAACAAAAAATAATAATATTTTAATTATTCCCATAGTTCGGATAAGTGGCTATAATTCATACTATGGTGTGATTCGTTATAATACACGTAGTAAGATTACTGTGAAGCCTTAACTGTCCGGGTATATGTTTGTAATTAGATAATTTGTATGTCATAAGCATAGTTGCACAATGCTTATCTATACCATTATGCCAGTGAGAGTTCCGAAATACCATATTCAGCTTGACATCTTTCAATCTACTGTGCGAAATGCTTAATTTCCGGATGGAAGCCATAGTGAAATTTTAAAAGCTTAGAAAAATAATATGAAACTCCGTTTGATAAATTCCCTTAAGCTATGTGTTTTTTCAATTCGAAAACATTGTTTATATTGTCCGCAATTATGATATGCAATTTTAGATTTGACTAAATATTTCTGCTTCGTATATAAAACAGAAATAGTGAAAGAAAAAATTTCTTAAACCGCAAAACATCGCAAAATACTTAGAAGTGATGAAAATGTAGCCCGCACGGCAAAGAATCAAATGTTCATTCGGATCTAGAATTCGATGGCAATTATATTCTAACGTAAATCCATTTCAGTGATTTTTATATTATTTATGCAACTCCTTTGAAATTGAGTTCGCGATTTTTAGGATAGTGTAGTTTTTAGTTATAATCCTTCCGAGGCCTATTTAAAAATTATTTCAAGGAGCGCTTCAGTTCTGGTTCTAGTCTTGTCCAATATTACAATTCGACCCTCTTGATTCGACTGCATTTGTTAGTTACCAATAACTAACTTCATCGCGACATTTGGGTTTTGATATCTTTTCGTCAAAGGTTCTGCTAAACCCTGTCAATGTTTTCGACATTCATCAGGTGCATAAGGGACATAAGTAAAACATTATGAATGTGTGTTTGGCTTTCCCTTTCTTTAAAATTTTGTACCTTGGAAAACTCAAATCATCATATATGGCATTGTGACGATTGTTTAGTTTAAGGCGCAAAGATTCTTAAATTATCCTATTATTTGAACCAAGTGTCAATAATTTTGATTTAGAAGTTTTTGCTTGCAATTAAATAAACGTAATTTAGATTAACAGTTGACTTTGTGTAGTAAAATGAATTTCCGCGCATGCGAAACTGCCATTATGCCATAGTTTATTTTGAACAAGTTCCACTTATTTAAAAATTGAAAGATGATAACACTTTTTGGGAATGAAATATGGACTAAATTTTCGGACTCAGCAAAAGCAAGATAGACAAAAAAAAAAAAAAAAAATTAAAAATAAAAGCAACAATGGGCGCAAAAGTTCCCTAATCTCGCAAAGCTTAAAGATTTAAATATTTGCCGAACAATTGCAGATTTCCGTGCGATGTCCTTTAGGGGCCTTTATCAACCTTTCAAAGACTTTGGCATAGCATCACGAAAGTAATGCTTTGTTAGAACTTAAAGTCATTGCGATGATTTGTCTCTAATGTTGATCGTCTCAACTATGTTTATAGAAGTTTCTTACGTTACCTTCGAATGCAAGGAGATGATCGTGGGAAATGATTACAAATCATATATTAAATACGCCTACTTCCTATTTTTTTTCTACACAAATATGTATATATGCATATGTAGGCATACGCAGATAAGAGAAACATAAATATTGAATACAATAAAATAAAAGGAAAAAAAGAGTTGTTGGTTAACGACTTTCCCACTACCCGCCTCTATTACTAATCAGAATGCAGAAAATGCAAGTTGTACTAAGTAAAAAAATATAAAAAAAGGAGATAAATAAAAATTTTTCATTACTTATTCTAAACGTTAACTATCGTTTCCAATTGACAGGTTGTGCTAGTTTTTGTTTTCTCTGTTTCTGTTAAAAGCCAAAATATGTATATATATATATATATATATGTGTGTGTGTATATATATGCATTTCATTAGCTTAACGTTTTCTTCTCAAACTTTTTAGCGCAAGCTCTCCTAGCATACATATAACAATAATAGCGGTTAGTGTGTTCTTTTTTTTTTTTTTTTTTTTTTCTTCTTTAAATGTTAAAAAAAAAAACAAAACATTTTTGAATAGCAGCTATCTAAAGGCAGTTATGCGATATGTGAGAGTAAACAATAAATGAGTAAGTGTAAGTGCATGTATGCATTGGTAGTAAGTATTATGCGGTATATATGCTACTTTGTTTAGGAAAGAATTTCAACGGCTTTCGTTTTATTTTATTAATATACCTTAGTATGTATTTAAATGGAGAGTTTTTCTTATAATAATTTTATCGGAAAGTTACGCGAGATAGAAGAAGAAGAAGAAGAAGAAGAAGAAGAAAAGTTTATGAGAGATGGCATAGTTCTGAATGAATTTAAAACGCAAGCGGCCAAGTTTTTTTCTTTTTCTTTCATCATCAAATGTTCCATTAGAGTGACTGACTTAATAAATCGTTTGCAAATGAAGGCGGCAACGTAGAATATAATACAAATAAGTAAACACACGCATATATGTCTACACAACTATCCAGACAATGTGAATAGAGAAATTGCATTTGAATCGGAAAAATTATAGAATATCTTTGTGATCGGTATTACTACTACTACTTACTAGCTGCAAAACAACAGCGAAGAGTACAAAAAAAACAAAATAATAAAAAATAAAATAAAATAAAATAAAACACAAAAAATAAATAAATAAAAAACAAAGTAAAACTACAAAAAACTTGAAATATGTTGTTTACCGACTGGCTGACTGACTAACGACCGCTGATAAAAACAATGATGACAACAACGTTATTTTGAAAATGATGTGGAAGTGGATGATGATGATGAATAACTATCCATACAAAGATATTGAATGAATGTAAGCATGTAACACCAATAGAAGCAGCATCAGCATTAGAACCAGCACTAGCACCAGCACCAGTACCAGCACCAGCACCAGCACCACCATCAGCACCGGCAACAGCAACAGCAGCAGCAGCATTAAGTTTGTCGTAACATTGGCGGGGGTAATGGTTGTGTTTCTACAAAAGTCTACTTGCTATGACGCTGATTTGGGCTTGCGGTCATAGTTAAGTTGATTTGTGTCGTCGTCTCTATGTACTCTTACTTGCCTTTAAAAAAACAAATCAAAATAAAAACCATCAATGCTTCGATGGACAGTTCGGTCGTACGACTCTGAATGAATGGTTGATTGACGTCTGCATGTTTGGTTAACTGATAAAATGCACCCAACATTCTTAACATATACATATATATAGGAAGCAAATAAGAGAAAAAAAAGTGAAATAAAAATTATATGAAAAACCAAATAACAAAAAATAAAAGACCTTTGATTTAACTTTGCTCCATTATCTGCTCCTATATATATATATATCTATATATATAAATGTGTAGCGTGCTTTGCGGACTGTAAGTGGGTTTGTGTCTAACTAAAACTATTAGATCCGCCATCTAGGCATTTTGAGTGAACGACTTGGATTCTGCTTTAGCAACAATGTTATCTTAGATATGCTGATGATAATAGATTTTCTTTATTTATTCTCGTTTACTGTAGTTGAACTATTTTTGTCTCCTCATTTTACACAATAGAGTTGAGGGACGATCAACAAGGGTGACCAACTTTAAAGCAGTTCAGTTGAAAATTTCTGCAATAAGCATCGTTCTATAATAGTTAGTGGCTAGATATGCTAATCATAAACTTTTAGCTCTGCAGTACTGCACTACTAACAAGACCTTTCATTTTATTTCATATTTTTTCCTACACATATATAGTAGGTGTATATAAATGACTAGTAACAAGAGCTTTCAATCTCTCTAGTTCGTTGTCCTATTCAAGCTGATCAAGTTTATCAAATTCTACTCCAAGTTTTCATTCCTATACTTTAAAATATTTAGGATTTAAGATAAGCGTTCGAAATTATTATCTCTTTTTTTTTTTTTTTTTTTTGAGAGACATTAGGGAGAGGGTGTAACCCAGTACTTATGTTATTTCTTGAAGCTTTCAGCCGCGATATATATGATGTCGTTCATACTTTTATTTAAGCTTGAAAATGGTGTTGTTTTGCTCCAAAGCTAGCCAATTATGGAACGAGCCGCGAGAAAGATAAATACTCAGAAATAATGCGTAACGTTCACGAACACCAAAGGTCGAATGAGCACTCTACGTCAAGAGGAATAATACAGCTTTTCTTTCACAATCAAAGTTGGGATGGCTTATTTTAAATCCTGTCGAAGACACGTAAGAAGTACTCAGCTGATATTGTTGATTGTAATTATCGTTTGTTTCTGTAGATATTAAACTATTTGTTGCCTAAATATCGTTTTTATGCTTACAGCGACATAAAGAATATAGGCCCAGAAGGAACATTCAGGGACCCTACGAAATATATACATCCTTTACCAATATCAAACTTTCAGTCTGAAGCACGTATTTGTGATAAACATTTCCCTTCCACTCACGTTGTTGTTGAAAATAGGCTAAATTAGTCAAAGGAAACGTGTCATAGAACAAGACTTGAAAACTTAAATGCAACTTTTTATAGCACTGTATTGATAATTTTGATAAGCAAAATAATGGGTCTTCATGTACTTAAATCGAGAGTAAAGTTTAAGCAACACTGACTGATAGGATCTAAAAATAACGACATGTCTACTCGTTCTAAAGCAAGATGGCATATGACGATGATGATGTCTTTAGTCTAATAAAAATCAACAGGGTACAATGTTGCTTTATAAACGCTGGTCACCTTTTGTTTCGCGCGTATACGTAAGATTATTGTCATTCACATCATCATCGGCATCAGCAACATTGGGCATGTGTTTTCGCTTTAATCTTTTGTCTTCTATTTCAGCTGTGTCAATTCATTAATAGCAGGACAGTAGTGAAAAAATATAAAAAACAAAATTCAAACCGAAGACACGGCAGTAACTATAACAATCTATTCTTAGCGTTGATTTTGTGCACAAAAGAAAGCAAAAGAGAAGCGTGTGGTTGTTCGTTGACTGAATTTTCTTCTTTTTTTTTTTTGGTTTTATATCTTACCATTCCTTTATCTGTAAACGAGTGACCTACTGAACTGATCTCAGTATAAAATTGACAAGTTAAGCAACTATATATGTACTCTGCCTGTAATATCTATTAAATTGCACGACATACTAAAAGCCGGCTTTAGAGCTCTTCTGTATTATCTGAATTGTTTATAAAAAAAAATTGTTTCATCAATATTGTCAGCATATATATAAAGTGGACAGAGTGGACGCCAACGACATCATTACCGCCATCATCAACAAACCGAACTGCTACAGCACCTTATTTTAGCACCACTACTACAATGAAATACGCGTTGCTCTCTCTCTCTCTCTTTCTCTCTTCGGTTTGCTCTTTTCTATAAATATTGCGAGGTGACTGCGTGGGAAATCGTGACAGACGCATCAACGTTTGTCCGTATTATTCGCAATGAAAATGTGCCGCCAATTGTCAGTAGAAAATTTGCATTTAAAGCGGTATTTTTCTGTTTCCATCCCAATATATTCCGTTCGTGTGCACCTGAATATGAGGACGGCCGAGAAAACGACGAAGACAGATTGCCTAACATATCTGTAATGACAGACCAAAAACGGCGGCAACGTTACACTTTAGTTAAAATCTTTTATATTCTTTTCTCGCAAAAATAAACGATAGAATGAGAGAGAGAGAGAGAGGGTGTGTGTGTGTGTGTGTGAGAGAGAAAGAGAAAGAGAGAGAGAGATGTTTTTACTTATTTTCAGCTAACAATTGTGTGTTATTTCTGCCAATTTTTTCTACCAGCGGCGTAAAACGGAACGTGTGCCACTAACTGACGTGATGTTTGACTTTTTTGTTGTTTTTGCATTCACCACTAGGCGATGAATTTTCTACAAAGTTTGTCATCTCCATATGTGCGAATACAGGAGGATATAGAAAGAGTCGGCTCCCCTTCATGTAAGCGTTTGAATTGCGACCGTTTGCAAACCTCTTCCTTAGGAAACATAAATTAAGATACAAATTGCAAAGTAACTTTTCCATACGCCAATATAAGACATAGGCTGATCGAATGTTTAGAATGCGAAAGTGAACGGAAAGTCAAATGTAACCATAGCGAACAAAACCCTAAAAGTATTTCGAAAAATCCCATTTCGTAAAAGTAATAAGCGAATAGGTTTTCATGAGGCAGTCTTCTCTCCGATTCTTTGCGAGTGAATAGTTAAACCGGGTTTAAAATGTGTGCTGTATAGCAGATGTAACTTGTCGCCTTCTGCCCTATTATCGCTCATCTCCCTATCGCCCTGCCAACTGACAGAGCATGTGATCATGGTTTTTTCACTACTCGATCGCAGCAGCTACTACTGTCTCGCTTTAAAGTTTGAGTTGAAGTCGTTGCCCAGATGCGGCTTATTTGATTAACAACATTTACATACCTGTATAGGTATTCTTGGCTGACTGCCTGTCTGACACTGTTGCACGCTGTTTGAATTGCTTACTGTGTGCGCTCACATTCATTCTTAAAGTGAGTGGGTTTCACATTATGAGCAATACTCAGGGTATTAAAAATGTTTACGAGCCTTTTCTGCCTCTTCTGTATGCTTGCGAACTTGTGAAAATTTCATAAATTTCATCAGGTTTTTAATAAAACATAAAACGAAATGTGTGAATAGAGGATTAGAATAAGCCACGAATTAAGTACTTAAGAGAGATCTTTCTTTCAGTTTATTCGTTCATTATCAAGGTTTCAAAATCGTTCTTATTTTAGGCTCATCAGTATGCAAATATGAACTGAATAATGTAAGATATTTACATCATGTCGTATTTTATGCAAGATAATTATCTATCGCTCATGATTATGTGAGTTTTATTTGTTTAGCTTTTTGTCCTCCTCCTTCCCCCAACTTTTCCCCCATCCCATATTTACTATGCCAAATTATCGCATACTCGCAGAGAGACATGTTGTTGAGAAGTGTGAACTTTCGACGGAAGTACACTGAAAGTTCATAAGTAAGATAAACGCGTTTTTCTTTTGTTGTTATTTCATTTTAATTAAATTTATTTTCAAACCGCAATGAAAGGTTTGCATAATAATGAAGGAAAACATAGAAGCATTCTTAAGCTTGACTTAATAACTGCTTTTATGTTAAAATTTTTAACAAACTTGAAAAGTCAACTAACGGTTTCGACTGTGACTATGCTCTCGGATGAATTAGATAGAAAAAAATAAAAAAAATAAAAATAAAAAAAAAACGGATTTAAATAATAATATTTTGAATACTCAACTGAAAGGTTATGTAAGGGTTGCTTATGAAAATGTTCAAACAATCGTCAAATGTGTTAACTAAAAAAACCGCAACCCTTTTAACTTAATGCCAGCTAATAAGATTATGAAAATACAAGCACAAGCACAAAAAGTATTCTCGAAAAGCAAACATCATCTTCGTTTCCATCTAAAAGTTTCGCTTTTTCATCAGGATATTGATCATTCGTGGAGTGAAATAATAAATGAACAAAAATTTATTTTATATTTAAGAAAGTGTCTCAATATATTCTCACTTAAGCTTTGACGTTTGCAATGCTTCCAAATATATTTATAAAAGGCCACAACATATTCTCTCAACAAAAGCTCTTGCCTTACAGAGGCTTTTAAGGTAAAGTTTGAGATCTTGGGAAAAATCACATTCCAACCTAGTTAATGCCTTAGTTTTTATGCCCCATACCATTTGTGGTGCAAGGTTATAGTGACTTTGTACGGATGTATGCAACGTTCAGAACGATTCGTCTTTTATTATTTCGATCGACTTAGAGCCACTTTCTGGATCAATGTAAGCTTTTCTGTTCATATGGTTTTATTATAGTCAAACGACAGATCGCAATTTTTGAGATATTTTGATGAAACTTGATTTAGTGACATGTTTTCTCTCAAGCGCGGACGCTATTGAAAATAGTACGGTTCCGACTAATTCTTCGACCATGTCGCATGTTAAAACTT